TATTTCTCCTTTTTTTGATTGTTCTCTCTTTAAAGAATTTCTACAAAGTTTTTATTCAAACTTGTATGAAACATTAATTTTAACAAAATAAAAACTAAACCCCAAAAATCACCCACCTCAGAAGCAGTGGCTCAAAATTCCTGCCTAGAGCCCAAATTTTATTTGTCTATTTAGTGACAACATTAATGTGCACACACATGCATTAGAGAAGATCCTCTTCCAAGGCATGAAATACAGTACCTCAGGTATTTAAGTATTTCTTTGACAGACTTTCAAGTACACTGAATTTACATTCCATAAATGTTATTAGACCATTCAAAATATCTGACATTTCTGCAGAAACACATTAATGAGATACTCCAGAGACTCAGATTCGAGTTAAATCAGTCTCCTCAAAGAAAATTCTACACTAAATACATAACAAATACTGTCTCACACAGAAACAGAAAAAACAAACAATGCTTAAGTGGAAAGCATTTTATTCATTTGCTTTCAAACCTATTTTCTAAACATTAGTATTTGTATTAGTATTTTTTTATAACTCACTGTGAATAAAAGCTGCATTTATTGTTTATTCAAAGGTACTTTTCAAAGGTAGTTTATTCAGAAGGTAAATTTCAACTTTTGATCATCCTTGTAGGGCCTCAGATCAGTCCTACCAGGAGAGGCTCTGAGGGTGCTAAAGATGGACTGGAAGGGTGAGAGAGTCGCTGCAAGCCTTAAATCCAACACTGACACTTGGCTGAGCCCTGGACAACAAACAAAATGTGTTTCCAGGTCAGAAACTCTGCAGCCTTTCTCACCTGCTGAGCATTGCAGCAAACTCCTCCCTTCCTCAGAGATGATCTCTGAGAGCAGAGCAGGAAAGGGAAACAGGCACCAACTGGCCCAGCTGCACACCCAAAACCTCCCATTTCCAAACAGAAATCACAGCTCCAGCTGAGGCTGGAGGATCAGGTTTGGACAGCAGAGAGTGAGGAGTTACACAGAAGGGAGTGAGAGGCCAAAAACCCAACAGAAGGGCAGCACTGGGTGTGCTGTGGGTCACTGGGGTGCTCGGAGAGCCCAAACACACCCGGAAGGGCTCGCTCCCCTCTCCCAACACGAGCAGCTCCTGGAAACCGATTCCAGCTGGAATTCCAACTGCTCCACAAACCTGGATTAGAACATACAAGTGAAGCTGGATCACCTGCTGCTCTAGGAAAAGCTCTCTGAGGTGGGGCTGCACCCAGAATGTCCAGGGACCCTTTTTGTCACGTTTTCTGGTCAGCTCTGCACAGGGAGGAGCCAATAACATGTTTTTGTTGCACAGAAAATCCACTTCATGCACCCATCCCTGCGAGTCCTGGCCCAAGCTGGGGGAGAGTATTTGTTTCTAGCTGTAATTTAGAATCAGTCCTATGTCTGATTGTGTGCAGATGTGAACTTGTGGCTATCTGGGCCCCATCACTTATACAAATAAAAGAATATTTCATGACCTGACAGGTGTTGACTGCAAATTAGTCAGAAGAAAATTAGAATGCTGTCCCAAATTCAAGGAAGATATTTTAAACACATTCTATCTCAATGAGCCAAACCATTCTGACACTCACAACAGGTCTGATACAGAGACAAAAAGGGTCTATTTTCACATTTTCACCCTGAAGAAGGAAATTTCCCTTCACACCACCTGTGCACTGCAGAACATGGTTGCTCTCATTTCCAAGAACATGCAAAGAACTTTGAAACAATTTTAAAAAATGAGACACCAACAATTCATGTTTATTTTTTCACATAAAAAAAGCATCTCTAAACATTTTGTCACTGCCTAAGAGAAAAATACATGAAAAAATTGCAAAAAATAGAATGAAAAAACAGCATTAAGCTCTGAAACCTGTATCCCCCAGTTCTGCACAGTTCTAGTACACTCCAACCAGTCTGTTCCACAAAGTCAGCCCTGAATGGAAAATAAAATGGGAAGGTAAATGAATGCCTCTCATGGCATTGGGACTGGAGATATATATATATATATATATATGTATATGTTTAATAAAATAAATAATTTAAGTAAGGACACTTAGACGTTAGAAAGTCCAATTTCTTTCACCTTGGAAACCTGGATGTTTTGTGTTCTTTTTAAGCTCTCTGCACCATATCTGTATTGACAAAGAAAGAGAAAATCCCAGAATTTCCTCAACATCGTTATCCTATAAATCAGAGCAATACCAGAGCCCTTTTACCTCCTGGAATACCTCCTCCACCCCTCACCTTCCAAGGCCTCTGCTGAAGCCCCAGGATAAACCCCTCTCCAGTAACTGAGCATTACCAAATTCACAGCATTTTGGAAGGAGGGACATTGCCATCCCTGCTCCTGCTCTCCCAGTGGGTGTTTTCCTTCCCTTCTCTGCCTGGCCCCACTGGAGCCCCACTGCCCAAAGGGACCCTGAGCTACATGCAGTGCTTGGACATGTTCTCAAGAACAAACAATCATCTTATTAGAAGCTCTTTTGCTGAGAATTGTGTGCATTTAGCAGCGCCTTATGAAGCTCCACTGCCCCCCTCCAGTTTTTCACCATTTTCCATGACAGCTTTTGGGGCTAAGGTCATCAAGGGGCTGCCTTAATTATCTGCCAGCACTCAGCAATGGGATGTCCACTCACACACTGCACTTCAAGTGCAGGGCCACAGCATTTTTATCTGGCTTTTTTTCAGGTTTACAGAGCAAAACAACATGAGTGTACCTTGCAAATATTACAACCTGATAGAGAATATCCTGCTGCTGGAAGCTGCCAGCTTTTCTACCCCAGACCTCTCCCACACTTCTGAACCTGTTTCAGAAAGTGCTCTGTGTTTGTGTGGATCATGGTTTTATATAATGGCCACAGTAACTGTGCTTATGCAAAGAGAAGAATTTTGCAAGGTAGAGGAAAAATGCGACAGGAGTGTGGTACAGAGCAGGGTCTATTTCTGTCCTTTCCCACTAGCAAAGCCCCATTTCCTGGCCAGAACAACTTCCTTTAACACAAGCCAGCTCCAGTTTTTAATAGGAAACTGTAATAGTTGTTAAACCCCAGGTCACCTTCCATGCACAGAATCCATAAACTGCTTTCGAAAATAACAAAATCATGCTTGAACAGGATGTGTACTCAACATATCAGTGCTATGATATAAAATAACTGCTACTTAAAATAGACTATTTCTCCTCACTACTAATTACTTAACTGCAAATATTTAGTATTTCACTTTATGGCAGCAAAGCCCAAAACCTAAGAGGTCATTTGAGAGCAGCATCACCTTCCAGATATTTGAGGGAAAATCTACTTACTGAGTGAAAATTATTTGCTTTTTCTTTTTCTAACCGTTTCCCTTTCAGATATCATAAGCAGGAAGCTTGCAAGGCACAGTATGTGAATTATCTTGAAAAGAGGCTGTCGTCTTAGGTTTATGGAAATGGAGTAAATCTCCAGCTTAAACAGAATGAGAATAATGACTTCCTTTATATTCTTTCAGCATAGCTTTAAGAGCAAACACAAATCATCTGGGTGATATTTCAAAACCAAACTGAAATATAGGGTATATGTTGCAGTCATCATATATAGAGAGGCTTGTGCTGTTCTCTGAAAACATGATTAACCAGGTTCAACAAGTGAGCAAAGAGCCAGTTAAATAAATACAGCCTTCCCCGTGAGCTCTACTTGCTGAGCTGGGCTATTTACACCATGGATTAGAATTGCCATTTCCATGCCCACAGCTCAGCATGGCTTTCAGGGCAGGCACAGCAAGCAGGGCTCCAGAACTCAGAAGCTGACAGCTACTAAAACAGACCTTTGGTGGCTGTCAGACCTGTCTAGGACTGATCTGCCTTCTATTTGGGACAACATGATGATTTTCTTCTGACAAACTCACCATCAACACCTGACACCACCTCAGGTACCAGACAGCACGCCCCAACACCAGAGCAGGGCCCCTGCTACTTCCTTTAGGGACTGGGACCTGAAATCTTCAAAAGAACCTGAGTACTGAGCATGTTTCTGAAGTAAGGATGAGTGTTGTGCTGCTTTTCCAGAAAAAAATACTTTACTGCAGTTTAGCTGCACAAAAACTACAGAACAAACCTTGGATTACTGCTATTAGGAACACATCTTGATCTTCAGGAAATAAAAAAGCTGTCAGGTGCAAAGATACACAGACTAAGGTGCCTGACAGCCAGTGGTGCCTCCCTGACCCTCAGGACACTGGGGGCATCCCATCACCAAACATTTGGGATGAGCAGGAGACAACACAAATTCCCTCTCCAGTGGTTGTCTCTTTTGTTGTCATGCTAGCAAGGCTTCTGGTCCTTACAAAGTTGGACTTGTTGCTTCAAAGTACACATAAATAATATATCTGCTGCAAATATAAAAGAGTTGACAAATAACTGCTTAATGAACCACATCCAGCAGCTCATAATTCCCCATTAAAAGCCTAATAAAAACCACTTATCTTAAAAGTGCTGATTCCACAGCCTGATCTCTGTCTGATACAGACATAACCAAAACTCCTCTGGTAAACTCGAAAGCTTCACCACCCTCAAGGTATCCCACAGCAGTGGGATTGTACATGCATCACCAATTCTGAAAAATGCCATTTAAAACATATTTTCAAGAGAACACATCCTGCCACTTTACACATTGAGCGTTCTCGGTGCTTTCCCATGCATGGAGAGATTTTGCATTGCTTGAGGTGATTTCCACTTTGAAAAACTTTTAAATCACTGAGGAACTGTCCCTGACAAAGATTTTTACATCTTTGGGTAACTGCTTTCCCTTTGAGAGTTTTCTTGTTATTGTGTAATTCCCTTTTTGAAGATTTGCATATTGATGAAGGAGTGCCTTTGAAGATTTCCACATTGTTAGGAGGGGAGCAGCCTTTGGAAAAAAGCTCCCATCGTGGAAGATCTACCTCCAAAACAATGTGTATGAACAGGGTATTACCCTCTCAAAAACAGCTTCATTGCTTTCTTCATTTAGTGGCACAGAACTTTTTAATGTACAAAAAGCTCTCACTTGTAAAGCTCCTGGAAAACAGAACACAAGAAAATTGAGTTCTTTATCTTCAGAAGTTCTAACAGGAATTACAAAAGAGAAAACAGGGAGCTGAAAAAGTGTTATCAATTTTTTCCTGCCAAACCATACTTGTGTCACTCATGCAGAATGCTGGGGGGAGAGGGGATGTCCCACGGGGGCTGGAACTGGAGCTCTGTGCTGGGATCCTTCAGGACAGCAGCTCTCAAGCCCCTCACTCAGGCAGTTTTGCTCTGAAAAAAAACAAATGTTAGGTTTTGCCTGTATTTGTTTTTGTTCTTTTTTTTAAAGAACAGAAAAGTCTTTTTTTTACTTTTTTTACTTAGTCAAACCAATCCATTCTAAACCACCAGATTTTAGCACAAAAGCAACAAAATAATTTGGCAAGCTTAACAACCAAATTACACCCAAAAACCAATTTGCAAGATGCTTTCCAGTTCCAATTAAGCATGAGTGTCCACCAGCACTTCCAAGTGGAAGAACAGCCAGGAAAAAAACTGGTTTTTTAGTATTTCATAATGTAGCTAACATTCTGTACACAGCAGTTAAATCTTCTGGCTTGCTTTACATGCCAACAAATAGAGCAGTTAATGGTGTAAGAAACCTTTTTTTATATACTCTTGTGGAATTCTGAAGTATTCATTTAAGAAAATGCAAGACAATTCCCAAGAAATTACAAAAATATTAATTTAATGTATCTATCAATGCATTGCATCGGCCTCAAGTCAGAAAAGCCTGAAATAAGTCAAAGGTGGTGAAAGGAAAATCTCCTGAAGAATCCTCAACTATCCTGAGGTCAGAAATAGCTCAGCTGATGTCAGAGCCACATTTTCATAGCCTTCTTAAAACCAAATCTGGATGTTTTCATTAACAGAAATGAGGTTTGGCTCTGTTGGATACAGAGAACTTGGAGTTTCTGTCCTTCTCCACCTTCTGAGATGAAAAGGAATTCAGCCGCTGTCCTTTTGAGAGGAGAAAAAGGACAAAAGCCACTGATGTGGAAGTGGGGAGGGGAGGCAGGGTGGGAGAAGGAATAGCTCCATCAAGAAAAGAAGGGATTAAAAGAGTTTGATCTGTTGATTCAGAAAAAAATGAGGATTATGATCTTAACTCAAATATCCTCAAATATCTCAAGCAAATATCCTGGGCATGTTTTTCATAGTGATTTTCAATAAATCACCAGAGTCGTAAGTTAATTGCTATAAAAAATAACATTTTTCCCATGCATGGCCATGAGATCGCTTTGTTACTGTAAGGATGAGCTTGGCTGTCAGGGATAATTTCCTAACAGTCTCTGAAGGTTTCCTATTGCAGTACAAAAGAAGTCATTCTTAGGGAGCAGGGCAGGGCAAGAGAAGGGAGAGAAATGAGCATTAACAATCTCCATTCATTAGCAGGAAGCTGCTAAAGGTTGGCAGTGATTAATCAGATTAAGTAACTATTGACCAGCCACAATTAAAAAATATTTGGTGGCCTGTTCTTGAAAGCTGGAAGGAGATATTTCATCTGTTCTCATAAAAATTAGCTTCCTTGGTTTAATGCAGCACACTTGATCTTTAAGTCTAAAATCTGGGTACTATAGTACTATCTCCTCAAGTTCATGTTAAGTTATTTAAATAATATTATTTGAAGACCCCACCCCATCACAACCTTGGAATGGGCTCTTTGAATTGTGAAGTTTCAATCTCTCTTTCCTCCAGCATCTTGAACTTCCACCATTTCTCACCCCAGATATTTCCTCCTGTTTCAAACTGACACAGCACATAATACTAGTTTTAAATGGTGCCCACCAGAGCCAAGATCTCTACATAATTCCTGGCAAACCAGAAATTCAGTTTCTAATAAAGCCTCAAAGCGAGGTAAAGCACAACAGGAGCTTCTGGCAATTCTCCACAGAGCTCCAGTTTCTCTTACTTGGACCTCATGAGTCAGTCAGAAAGCAGATTTCTGGTCTCTAACAAAATGCTCCTCTTGCAAGAAAAAAAACAACAACAAAAAAACCCAAACAAAAAATCAAAACAAACAGAAGGGAAACAAGCCAAAACAAACCACCCCACAAAAAAACCCAACCAACAAAATCCACAAGAAACACCACAACAAATACCAACCAACCAAAAAAAAACCAAAAAAACACACACACACACAAAAAAGCAACTAAACAAACAAAAAAGCCACAAAAATCTACCAACCAACCAAGCAAAAAAACCCTCAAGGATTTGGAAATACACCTTACAGGTAACTTTGGCCCTGATGGCCAGCTGAAGTGGCAAAAAGAACATTGCTCTTCTGTTATGCTTTTATTCAGATTTTAGTTCCAGCACATTTCCTCAGTGGGGGCACAGACCTCTCCAGGGCAGTCTGAGGTTCTGCTGGAGCCCCATAACCCACAGGACAAAGCTTCTCCAAATCCTGGGCAGCTGTCATCAGCATGTCCTGACAACTCCCAGGCAGAGACAGGAGTAAGAACCCCCAAGCCTACAAATACCAACAAACACAAACCCAAAGAGGTGTCATCCAACCATGTCATACTCTGCCCGTTTCAGGGGAAGGAGAAAAGCAACCTTACTGAATCCTACAGGCTCCTCCTCACCCCCCAGATCCAAACCATTATCCCCAGTGCCACACCTCACATAAATCATTGTTCACTGCAGCCCAAACCCATCCTTCCAGAAACACCAAATTCACTGTATCATGTGGCACCTCTGAGCACAGCAACTCAGACCCCTAGAGCACCACAGATACTCCTACCATTAATACTACAACCTTAAAAATGTGCCAGTTTACACTCTAACCACAACTTCAAATGTTTAAATTGCAACAGTTTCAACAGTGACTGCCCCCTCATAGAGATGATAATGACATCTTCTTGCTCTTAATTACTTAGCTCCACGGCAGAATGGATCACTCACATGAGTGCCAGAGAGCCTGAAATATGTGAAATTGAATTTCACTCACTCCAGCAAGGTTTGCAAATGGTAGACATTTTAAGATTCACCATTAGACCCCAAACAAACATTGTATTTCTAAAATAGAGGTCATGGCTTAAAGTATCGAGCGTCTGAGACTGCTTCACACTTAACAAACAAAGGCTGGGACAGACTTCAAATGGCCAGGAAAGTTGGACATTCTTCAAGAAGGGACCCCCTGAATTGCCCCAGGTTTGTGCAGGGAGGCTGGAAAGGCACCCAGAGGAAAAAGACCTGGGGGTGATGGTGCCAGGGGCTGGGCACAGCCTCCGTGTGCCAGAGGCCGATGGCACCTGGCTGTGCCAGCCCTGGGGTGGCAGCAGGGCCTGTCCCCTGTGCTGAGGGACCTCCAGGGCCGAGTCCAGCTCTGGGCACGGCCACAAGAGATCCTGAGGGGCTGGAGCATGTCCTGGGCAGGGAACAGAGCTGGGAAGGTCTGGAGCCCCAGGAGGGGCTGAGGGAGCTGGGAAGGGGCTCAGGCTGGAGCAAAGGAGGCTCAGGGCTCCCTTCTGGCTCTGCACAAGTCCCTGGCAGGAGGGGACAGCCGGGGGTGTCGGGCTCTGCTCCCAGGGAACAGGGACAGGAGGAGAGGGAACAGCCTCAGGATAGGCCAGGAATGGATATTGGGAACAATTTCCTCACAGAAAGGTTTCTCCAGCCCTGGCACAGCTGCCCAGTGCAGGGGTGGAGCTCCCAGCCCTGAAAGGATCAAAGCCATGTGGATGTGGCACTTGGGGACATGGCTTAGTGGTGGCCCTGGCAATGCAGTGTTAACTTAAGGATCTTAAAGTCCTTTTCCAACCTAAGCAATTCTATGATTCCCAAGGAGATTCCCTCTGTCCCCCAGAGTCCCTGCTGCAGGCAGAGCACCCCGCCTGTCCCTGCTGACAACGTCACCTGCACGGACAGAGAGGAAGCAGCTGGAGTCTTCTGCACCACTACAACCCTCCTCACCTATTCAGATCCCACCAGGTCATGTATCATGTAGGTATCTATTTTCTCTTAAAAGATAAAGATTTGTGATGCCCCTGATACTTCTAAGCCTCTTCACATGCACTTGCACATAGGACATGCTGTGTTTTGGATTAGATATTGTCATACAGAGCGTCTTAAATGATGAAACCTGGAAACAGTTTTACCATTTGTTATCCTAAATATATCCAGAAATTTTGTCCCAGCTTGCCCAGCTTTCCTCCTGTATTCAGCATTGCTTTGACAGAACCAAAATTTCACATCTATTTTCTGTAATTTTGAGTGAAGCGTGTTCAAGAAATGTTTCTTGGGGTCACAGTGGAAGTTACCCAGGGATCAGTGACAAAATCACTGCAGGCCATTGAGGCAGTGCCAGAGCTCACGCTAGCTCACAGCTCAGCACTGTGCTGAGTGTGGGGTACAGCCCTGGAGCAGGGTGACATTTGACACAGCTATTGCTCTGTGGCATGTCTGGCTGGCAGCACAAGGAGGAGACAGAGCATGACAGGGAGGCTCAGGTTTGCATTGCAGGGAAATTCATTTCTTCATTCCTCGAAGGGGTCAGGGACCAAAGAGCCCGGAGCAAGGGTGTGCAGGGAGCTCTGAAAGGGGTGAGAACCGAGGGAGGAGACACATTCACAACCTACAGGGAGCAGCTGGGGGAGGAGCAAGGGGAGGGGATTACATTCTCAGAGCCCATGGATACAAAGGGGAGGAGGAAGCGCGGCACATGGGCCAATGAGGGGGGGGCCTCGAAAAATAGGGGATTTCCAAAAGGGAGGGGTAAGCAAGGGTTGGGCTCACAATGGATGGGCAAGGAAGGTTCAGGAACAAGGGGAGGAGTTACAACAATTGACAGCTCAAAGGGAGGGTACAACTTAGGGAAGATTCATTAACACAGGGGTGAACAGAACAAACCATTAAAACAGGGTATGAACGGACTGCAACAGGCAATGTTCTCCACTGTGGGGAACATGAAATTCCACAGCTTTTTGTCTGTTCTGGAAGAAACAACTGAACTGTGAGCATGCAACATCCTCTATTATAGATGTAGACATTTGGCTAAAAAACACTGACGAGTTTGTAGGTATGTTTGACGCAACCATATTTTTCAAGGAATTGAGACATTTTGTAGTGCTTCTGTTTCACAAAAGAAACCCAAACAAACTGTAAAAAAGCTTAATTTCCAATAAATATTCCAGTCAGCAACTGAAATGAACATTGAAAGACCCAGCCCTTAGTTCATGCTCAAAAAAAGTCCATGGTATAAATATAGATTTAATTGTTTTCACCTT